AATTCTTTGATAAATTGTTTTTTTTTTTAATCCCTCAATAGGCAAAGTACTCAAATAGGTCAGTTCCCAATTTCCAAGAAAACATGACCATATAAGTCAAGAGAGAAACAAGCGGCTGAGAGAAGCTAAGATTTGTATAAATGCAGGTAAGACAAAAGGAAATTATCTTATAGGACTTCGGGGTGGCATCATTCATGTTATGATTGTGAACAGCCTTCTTTAATTGTAATTAGATAGGAAAGGTATCACACTGCATGTTTATAATGGGTCCAATTCATTTTGCAAGACCTCTTCTCTATACGTGTCTGAAGAGGGTGGTGTGAGACAGGGAGCTGAGCAGCAGTCTTAAGCCATCCTAAAATTCTTTCAAAGCATACACATTTGAATTACATAAAATCATCACTGTGCCTAAAGGGTGAAAAGTCTGTAGCAGATTTAGACCCTGGGGCTGTAAAATGCTAATTTTGCTACAAGAGATTGTTACCAGAAATTTTGAAGTTTGATCACTGGGGAAGGACCAGAGGCTGCCCCATTGTGAAGTGGTTAAGCAGTTGCATACAATCTGACACATGCAGGAGGCTTAATAGATATCGAAACAGCCAAAGAATGTGAGAGACATGGCCATTGCAGACACCCCTTCACTGTCCTGGGCCAGTCTGCATAAATAGTACTTAAGAAATATACATGCATTTCAGATTTGCTGTTTCTAGAACAAATAAAAGCCATGCATTATTTTTTTAATTATATTATGTTAGTCACCGTATAATACATCATTAGTTTTTGATGCAGTGTTCCATTATTCATTCTTTGCGTGTAACACTCAGTGTTCCATGCAATACGTGCCCTCTTTAATACCCGTCACTGGGCTAACCCATCCCCACATCAACCCCCCCAAAACCTTCAGTTTGTTTCTCGGAGTCCACAGTCTCCATGGTTGGTCTCCCCCACTCATTCGCCCCTTTATTTTTCCGTTCATTTTCCTAATGTCCTCCATGCTATTCCTTATGCTACACAAGTAAGTGAAACCATGTGATAATTGACTTTCTCTGCTTGACTTATTTGACTTAGCACAATCTCCTCCAGTCCCGGCCATGTTGGTGCAAATGTTGGGTATTCATCCTTTCTGATAAAAGCCATGTATTATTAAATAGTGCAAAAGAAGTTAATCCAATCTGCTTTCTTCTGAATGTATTTCTCCAACTAATGTTTAGAACAATGGGACAAAAGCAACTCATCCAGTCAGAACTCAGCCATGCCCTGATGAGCGCTGGTCACACACACAGTGCCTATCCCACCATCCAAGCCAGAGCTACATTGTGATGTTAACTGATAGCACACATCAGTGATAGCACACAGTAATTCTATGTGACCCACCTACCTGTGGTTAGTGACATTTTCAATGTCTAGGGATATGACAAAGGCAGAGAACTTGAATCAGACTTTGCAAAATATCAAAGCAGGAGACTTTGAAAGAGTCCTCCCTGCCTCATTATCATTTTTTTCAGGGTCCTCTTTGTAGTCTGTGGATAAGGAAGTTGAGTGCAGGATTAGGGAGGGAATAGGGAAGAGACTGGCCCCATGAAAGTTTTACATGATAGCTTCTGAGTTTTCGAAAACTATATCTGGGGGCTAGACAGAGAAAGGATGAAAGAAAGAATTAACTAGAGATAGGGAAAAGGCTTTAGGGGTCATTACAATGGCATGGTTGAGAGAGAATGAGAGAATGAAAGATTCAACTATAAGAATGAAAATGTGAATTGAGAGGAATAACAAGAAGATCTGAGTGTAGGAGCTCATTAATGGTTTTTCAGATCTCATTTTGAGCTTCTGCTAGTGCTGTAAAGTTATGCTTAATACCAAACTGGGTAACTGGGCTACCGCCAGGACCACGTACTTAAATAAGGTTGCCTGAACCACTGGAGACTCCAGTGAGTTGGGTCTGCAGGTCAACAGTCACCTTAGAGCTTTCCCTACAGATAGGCTAGTAGGGGATTGGAAAATAAATTAGTCAAGTTCCCTCCCAACCCCTCATCTTCCTAGCCAGAGTGGGAAATTCTCAGGGATAGCTTTGTGGCAATTTTGGCATCTCCTGTCTTAGCCCAGTGGAGAGCACACAGTGGCTCTCTCAATAATAAATAAAGATAATAAAATAATTTAAAATTTACCCCCATTTTCCCCTCAGTCTACATAATAGCTTCATTTAAAATATAGTCCTTGTTTTAACTGTGAATCTTAAAGATTTTATTTATTTATTTGACAGACAGAGATCACAAGTAGGCAGAGGGTCAGGCAGAGAGAGAGGGGGAAGCAGGCTCCCTGCTGAGCAGAGAGGCAGATGCAGAGCTCCATCCCAGGACCCTGGGATCATGACCTGAGCCGAAGGCAGAGGCTTTAACCCACTGAGCCACCCAGGTGCCCCTTAACTGTGAATCTTAAGAAGTAACTAAATTAACTGTAAGAAATGGAAACATAAACCATTCTAAGAAATTAAAACATAAACCATACTAATCAAAAACCCAGAAGGAACAAAACTGAAAATAGTACATACAAGTCAGATGAACCACGGGATTGAGAAGTAATATAATATAGTACACAATGGGTAGACTAAAACCACCACGGATTAGTAATAAGCTCTGTAAGGGGCAAAGAGTTTTATTCACTTACCTGCTGCAACGTCAGATCCTAGAACAGAGCCCAGCACAGGGGAGGCACTCGGTAAATATTTGTTCAATGAATAAATAAGTTGTCCTGATTTGAAAAGAAAAGAAAAGAAAGGAATACAATTAGATACAATTAGTGTTTTCTTCTATTAAAAGTTGATTTGAGTTTTGTTTTTTTTTTTAATTTGGTCCCATTCTAGAACCAAAGAAAACATCTCCCATGCAGCTGTGTGTTTTTTTTTTTTTTCTTATGCAGACCACGGCCAAATAGTGATGTTTTAATACCATAAGGAATAGAAAATAGAATGCAAATTGTTCTTTTTCTCATGATAGAAGCTCTTACACTCTTGCTCTGTTGTTCTGCCTTTCTAGAGAAGCTGGAGATAGAAAATTATGTGTAGATGCTTGACATTTGGTTCTTTCCAGGGAAATAAACTTACTTGGCTAGTTTAAAAACTCCTCCGTGAACGATTAATGACGGGTTGTTTCCCAGAGATATTTTTTCTCAGAAACATGAAGAAAAATAAAATCTTAAAAGGAAAAGGAATGTGTCTGAGCAATGGGAGAATTTTCAAGTAGCATTTTCCTGAAACAATCAGATGTTATCCATGGTGATACACTTTGTCAAGCAGGAATTCATTCAGTTCATTGTGTCCTCAAATACTTCAGTCTTTTCTTAAACTAGTCCAAACAGTCTATTTTATCATTGAAGACTTGCACTCATTTACTCATCTAACAAATACATATCAAGGATCTAAGTGCCAAATTTTTCACCTACATCCTAAGGATATGGTGTTCAATAAAACACAACCCTTACCTTCCGGGAGGTCACAGCCTCCCATAACTCGCTCCATGAGATTTCACAAGTTAAAATGCCCCTGTGTTTTGGGACGAGTGAAACAAAAGATGTGAAGGGAAGAAATGACAACATATTTTTGAAATGTTACTATGTGCCAGGTGCAGTTAGAAGGGTATCCCTAACCAAGTTTTCTAAATACCTTCCACTCCACCCTACTTCCTTTGTTTTTTTGTTTTTTTGGGATTTTTTTCATCCTGCTTTTTGTTTTTTCAACTACTCATTCCCACTTGACATTGTTCAAGGCTCTATCGCGGGCTCTGAGAAGTAGCTGGCCGATTGTACCGTTTTTGTAGTCATTGCATGAATGAACTTGAGAGGTAGGAATACTTTTACAAATGAGACCAAGACTGATAGCATAAATGATTTGCTTATTATGACTGTGAGACTCTTAAGTCATACATCAGGGGCTTCCACCTTTGTATGAAGGCAAAGCCAGTGTTCTTTCTACAGCTGCTCCTTCAAATGCATATTTCTGTAGGGAAGTATGACTCTCTTCTTTTGCTAAGCATTGTTATGTGAAAGACACTTGGAGGTACAGGGATCTGGCCTTCAAGAGCCTGACAGTCTGGTTAGGAAGAAAAGAAATATCTGGAGATCCAACTAAATGTGTAAGGCAGTGTCCGGCTCTGGAAGGAACCTCAGAGACAATAATGGGACGAGGGAGAGGAGTGCCTGGGGCTGGGTCCTGAAAAGCAACCTTACTTGGCTGGGGTCTGTTGTCCAGGGAATAGGAGTAAGCAGAGTTAAGTAAAGTCCTTCAGAGTAGACAGCTTTCCTCACCCCCTTTCCCAGAGTCTGCCAGAGAATAGCAGATTCCTCCCCACCCCTTTCTTGCAGAGGGAAAATGGTGAAAGGTAGAAGAAAGGCTCATTTGGAAGAACGTTTGGAGAGTGTGTGGTCTTAGGAAGTAATGAAAGATGGGGAAAAAGAAATTGCAGCAGCTGAGGTGGTTTTGCCTAGGAAAGAGAAAAAGTGTGGGAATGGAGGGTGGGATGAGGAGCCAGTTTCAAAATCTCTCTTCATGGGGAATTCAGAAGTTTGTTGCATGTCCTCACACTTACTTGGAAAACATCTGGCGTGCCCTGCCCTTGAGGGACAGTTGGTTTTTTTCTGGAGGAGAGGGGTTAGGTTTATTCTCTTGACACCAAACATTGGAACCAAAGGAGGAAAGTCTGAAGGAAGCGTTTCTACTCAACACAAAGACATGGCTTTAAAAGGAGCTGCAGGGAGCCGTCTCAGGAGGCGGTCAATCTGCTCCGGAAGTTTTCCAGCAGAGACAAGGAGCCTCCTGGGCCCTGCTCGCAGGGGACTCGGCCCCCAGGGTCATGGCCAGGGTCTCAGGCCGGGGGCGGGGACCGGGAGCGAGTGTGTACGTGCGGGAGGCTCCAGCTGCACTGCCCGGGCTCCCCTGGGAGCGCCGCGGGGTGGGGCGGGCCGGGGAGCAGCAGCAGAACTCCGCCGGGGAGCTGGGAGCGCGGAAACCCGGCGCAGCATGCTCGCGGCTGTCGGGGGCCTCCGGGGCCTCCGCCTAGGGCGCATCTTCCGTGGGGCCCCGGGAGCGCACGGAGAAGCCGCGACGCGGCCCATCGCGCCCCTGCGGCCTCGGGGTCTGCCCCGCTACTGCAGCGGCCGGGCCACCAGCGGCTCTGAGCCCCACGGTCCAGGTGAGCCCGGGCTGGGAACGACCTGCAAAGGAGAGGGTGCGGAGCAGCGGGCGAGGAGCCGCACCTGGGGTGAGGGAGGGAGGGGGTGGCGTGAGTGCGCTCTGAGCCACTATGCCATCGGTCAGTCCGTTCCTCCGGCCACCCCTGTCGCCTTCGCAACAGGAAAGGTCCACCGGGTCCCCGCCGAGTACAAGCCTTCGCAATTCGATAAGAAAATCCTGGTGTGGACCGGGCGTTTCAAAGCGATGGAGGACATCCCGCCTCGGATCCCGTAAGTGTGGCCTGTGTGGCGGCCAGTTTCCGTGCGCACGAAGGGGTGCCTGCTCCATGCACCTCCCGACCTCGGCGCGCCCGGGAAAGAAGGCAGCTTCACAACACCCACCACCTTGAGGAATACCCCTCCCCAGCCTCCCCCTAGTGCGGTTAAATGTCAAATGCCTTGAGTGAACAGTGGGCACCTAAGCTTACAAGGAGATTGTTGAAGTTGGGTGAAAACCCAGTTCGGTGGGCACTTGCACCATCGCCCAGATACCCGCCCCAGGGAGCTCAGAGCCTCAAGGCAGCGGAGCGCTTGGGTCACACAGACTGCAAGGTCAGCGCGTGCACCCCGGGTGGTTGCAGGGTCCCCAGAGAGGGAGAGGGGCTCTGCCCGGGGAGCAGCTCCCTGTCCACCTAACGAAGGCTCGTGGCTCCTGGGAAGACTAAAGAGTCTCTGGGAGGAAGCCGCATCCAGGAGACCTCCTATTCTGGGGCGGGAGAAGCCTGATGTTCCTGATTCTGCAGCCCGCGGAGCGCGGGGTTCCCTCGGGTTGGGACCCCCGGAGCGTGAGCATCGCTGGTTTCATCACTATCCCAAAACCAAGATAGAGGGTCGCTTAAATGATAAAACTCAAGCTGACAATTTCACCCCAAGGGTAAATTTAACCTGTAGAAATCATCTTCCTACAGTTTCAGTTTATGCAAGCCCAAAATACTTCTCAGCATTTGTTACAAGGGAGTGGATTTTAAAAATGCAATGAAGGAAACTAAGCATAAAACCAATCTACTACTTTTTAAGCTGAACTAAAAATAAAAAATAAAAAAAAGAGGAGACTAGAACTATAATATCAGATATGGATTAGAGATGTCCTGTATATAATTTTTATACGATGTAATAATCCATGCCTAGTGGAATGAATAATGGAAACTAGGCCTGCAGCTTGTTCTGCACATATTACCTACACGTTTTAAAATCAAAATTTAAATGTGCGTTTGTTTACATTGAAGTATAGTTGACACACAATATTACATTAGTTTTAGGTGTACTTGTCAACACTTTTGTTACTTTGTAATTTATTAGTTACCAAAAGCATAGTTTAAAAAAATGAGGAAAGAAACACGTGCTGGGAAATGTTGGCTCAATAGTGAATTCTCAAACCTTTTTATCCCTTTCTTGGATCAAATTATTTAATGAGGAATGGACATGGAATTTGAAATAACACAGAATTTGAAATCTATATTCAGCATTTATTCAACCCCAGAGACTTTTTTTAATATTACAAGACAAATATTGTTTTCCTTGAGATCTGTAGATTCTGAACTACAGACTCAGCCCAAAGCAGAAATCATCCTCAGAAAAGCTAAAATACCATCCTTAATTTTTTGGAATTTTGAGTTTCTCAGTGCTATAACAGAATAATCAATACTTCAGTAATAAATAAAAATTAACTAAATAAAAATAAATGTAAAAAAGAATGTAAAGAACCTGCAGTATTGTAAATTAATACTTGTCAGGAGATAGTAGGTCCAGTATCGCATTAACACAGCTCTGTGTGTGAAGAGGCCCATTTTATAGAAGTAATTTAATTTCTTCGGGATCACAGTCAAAAGAAGTGTTATAAAAATGAATCTAACTTCAAATAAGATGTTTAAGAAAGGAATTGTAGTTTGGTGTTGGAAACATTAAAGTATTTGAATATTTTTCATTTTGCTCTTTCCTATAATTTTTTAAAGCATTGCTGTTGAGGGATATACCTCCCCAAGCTAAGTTTTAGGCTTACAACGTGAAAAGCTTTCACTTTGTATGCTTTTAATAGACATGTAATTAGCAAGTGAGCTATAATTTTTGTATTATACACTAATGATACTTAATCATAACTGTGCTTTTTCATGTTTTTTTTCAGCGCACACCTAATTTGGTATAGCAGATCAAAGCCAGATGGATGGGTAAAAAAGATCATATCTTCTAGGCTCCATCTGGAACAAAAGTCAGCAACAAATATAATCTAATAATGCCTTCATATTCACCTGTTTGCAACTAACATCTTAAAACTCACATTGGCTGTCTCAAATCTAAGGAAAACAGGCTAGATATTGGTTTGCCATGCTCTTTAAACTGGTGGAAAGGTTAAAGAAAAGGTTTTTCATTTTTAAGAGAAATTGCAACTTGTCTTTCTGACAAGTAATAGAAGTAACTACAAATAATAGAAGTAATAGAAGAATGTAACTACAATCTATTTAAACTTGGCATTAGATAAGAAAGAATACTGTTGCATACATTCTCAAGAATCATTCTTTAATCACGTCTATCTATAAACTGCACTTCATATTATTGCAAATTGTTAAAGTTTATTTCAGTATAAAAGGCCCACAGACACAATTAAGTTTGTGACTCTGCTTTGTTTAGTAACATTGCTAAAATCTTAAACAACTTGCCTGTAACTTTATATTAATAAATAAGTCCCCCCAGTATTCGATCAAGTTAGAAAATTTCAGAATAATAAGAAAACAAAGGTGACTTTGTCTTTTTCTTCAACAAATCATTGTAATTTTGATCACTTATTTTGAAAACTTCATGCAAAAGCCACAAAGGAAACACCTTTTCTCTAATAGAGGTCCCCACAAGGTATAACGGTCTCTCCAATCAGGATAAGATGGGAGAAGGCAAGAAGGGATTGGGAGCCCAGTGAGAAAAAAAATTGAGGGAAAAATATTTTTAAAAAACACCCTGATTAAAACCAAGAAGGAGGAGGTACCTGGGTGGTTCAGTGGGTTAAAGGCCCAACTCTTGCTTTCAGAGCAGGCCATGATCTCAGGATCGTGAGATGGAACCCACCTCAGGCTTCAGGCTCAGCTCAGAGTCCCTTCGAGATTGTCTCTCCCTCTCCCTCTGGCCCTCCCTTTTGCCCCCATGCTCTCTTGCTCTCTCTCTCAAAATAAATAAATAAAATCTTAAAAAAAACTAAAGATGAAGCCCACTTAATAACAAAGGGACCAAATGAACACAAGTCATAGACATATATAGACTTAAATTCTTAACCTTTACCCTGACCTGTGACCAAAAAAAAAAAAAGGAGAATCGGGCCATCATTTCAAGAAGTTATATTTTGAGAAGTTAGAAACTAAATATACTACACTGTGGTTTCACGGTGACTAACATTAATGAAGACGTAATTATACCTGTTATTTTGAAATTGGGAACATAATGGGCTCGGCTTTGGACGTCTTCCACATCTGCAGTTGGCATTCAGGGATTGTCTATCATGCCAGGTAGAGAAAAGCAGATTGCTGCAATATAATTAACAGAATACACATCTTGGTTTAGGCCAGAAATGATAGATGCTGCAAGAAACAAGGCTCGAGTGAAAGCTTGTTACATAATGATTGGACTCACCATTATCGCCTGTTTTGCAGTGATCGTCTCAGCCAAAAGGGTGAGTATCTCTTTAAAATACAGCTGGACTGGTGAATTTTAAGAAATACCGTGAGCTTTATTCTTAATTTGAGGATTATTGTTCTGTTTTCCATGTAAGCACAATTTCATCGTAGACTTCTTGAGCCATCCATAAATATCTCTCCTCCTGGAAACAATTTCTGTCATGAAAATTTCAGCCCACAAATGCAAACTACATGGTTAGAGAGGAGGAACAAAAGTTTGTTTCCATTTATAAGGTAAAAACAGTTCATAGCCTGGTTAAACAGGATAGTTCATAGCTTGGTTAAAATCTGTGCAAGAAGAAGTTTGCTCTGTGAAAGTTACCCAGACTTGGTCATTCTAGAAGTCATGAACTCAATTATAACTATCGCACAGAATAATGAAATCCTCAGAAATGGCAATTATTGGACATGCTCAAGGCCAACTTGTCTGTATCCTGCATGTGAGCCCTTGCCTTGTCATCTCCAGTATATGCTTTCTAGAGAGAAATTAAGAGCTGATTACTCTAATTGTGTTTCTTGCTTCCCCAAATCCTTTCATCTGCTGATCACTTTTTACAACGAAGGCAGCCCACAAATACTGGGGGACATCTAACACCTCCCCACAAGTCTTCTCTTCTCCAGTCTTAATTTCCCTATCCCATACAACTTTCCTCTCCTCTGAACACACTGCCCTTTATCAGTGTCTCCCTTCACAGTGGCATTTGCAACTGAACCCATTAGAGCGGGACTAACTTCCTTGTTCGTGAACTGTATTCTAGTAACACAACCAGAGTTGAAAGCAACTTTTGGCAGCTGCATCACACAGAAGAATTTGCTTGGATCTGCACATCTTCCCTCTCTGGGCGTGTGTAGCCAATTACCATTCTCCCTCGTCCTGTGATTCTGCCCTGGGTTACTTTTCAGGTTTTTGAGAGTATTTGAGCCAGTAATTCACATAAGAACTGAGCCTGTAAGTTTACTGATGTCACGTACATACCCATTCATGGGTATGTGTCAGAGAATGTGCGCTTTGAAAGGATTCTCATCAAAGGGGAAATTTATTAAATATTTCTTAAATGTTCAAACATAGAAATAAAGAAATTTGGTGACCTCTTATTTATAACCTACTGTAGATAAAATGACTGTCCACCAAGGTGATGATTCTCTAGCTCCTGAATGACAGAATGGAGTCTGATACTGTCTGGACCCTCCTTGTTTTTTTATAACACCTTCTCTTTGTTCATTATGCTCCATCTACTCTAGGTCTTTTCTATTTTTTTAATACACTAAACCCTTTCTCCTCACTAGGATTTCCTTCCTTCCTCTGGCCTTTCCGTTGCTGGCTTATTCTCACTCCAGGCAGAGATCTTCCATGACCACCTGCTTTAACATGGCTTTGCCCAGGTGCTCACTATTTTATCATCTTCCCAGCTACTCATGAGTAAGCCATGATACATCAGCAATCCTGTAGACTCCATTTTAAAATATACGTACGGTTGGACCACTCCTCACCATCATCTCTCTTGATATCACCCTGGTCTGATATAACCAACATCTGTTGCCAAACTGATTCCAATATCTTCTAAAGAGTCTCATGGTTGTCCCTCTTGCCTCTCTCCAATTCTTTTGTTTTAAATAATTAATGCGTATACTTTAACTGAGATTGTGATAGATGGAGGTGGAGAAAAGTTTAGCAATCTCATATGTATTTGGGGGTGGGTAGAAAGGATAGAACTTTGTGGTACATTTGATGTGGGAAGAGGAAAGTAAATGGAAGAAAGAAACCAAAAAGCCTGGGTTTTTTACTTCAGCAACAAGGTTGATCGTGCCACCATTTGTGGAGATGTGTAATGCTGGGGAGAGAACTGGTAGGCACAACAGGCAAAATACACCAAGTCCTGTACTGGGAATATAGTAAGTGTAAGGGACAGATTAGGAATTCATCCATATCTTTTTTTTTTTTTCTGCTAAGAATTTCATACACTCTTCAGTCTGAGGACCTATATATAGATTTCCTCACTTCTGAAAAAGTTCAAGCTGTCAAAACTTCAAATATGGCCCCTTCACCAGTCTCTCTATTCTTCCCACCTGTTATGTATGTATGTTGGAACTTCTAAATTCTATTCTCCATGGCTCTTAACTCTTTTTCTATTTTTTGTATCTGTTTCTCTGCACTGCACTTAATTATTCCCGCAGATCTGTTTTCTAGCTAGAGTTTTTATGTCTTAATTACGATGCTGATCATCTTTTCTTTTCAGGAGCGATTTTTCCCCCCAGAAAATTTCTATTCTCTTTGCCAGTTCCTTGGGCTAGTAAGAGTAATTTTAGTCATTTCAATGGAGTACCTGATACTTCCAACTCCAGATCCAAACTCTGCACTCACCTTTTGAGGCAGAGATTAAACTCCCAGCTCCCAGCTGCTACAACCTGTGTTTTTCCCTAATGCCCCCTGCCTGAAATCATTCCTTCCCTTCCTGGCTTCAGTCCTTCTTATTTCCCACCATGCCTTTTGAGTTCTTTCCATTTCTGATACCTGAAGATTTCCCTTTCTTGATCTTTAGCATAACTATTTGAAAATATTTTTGTTTTTTTTTTTTTTAATCCAAAAAATATGTCTTTGTGTGCCAAGAGATCCAGGGCAGATTTCTGATGTCAGTTGTCCTGTTGACTACAAGTCTCGCAACTTACATAGCTACTTTTTTCTACACCAAAGGATCATTTTTCTTGGATACTGTTTGTGACAGATGTTTTAAGTTACTTTTCTCCTTTTCACAGAGGATCTCGTATATGTCTGAAATACAAATTCTTTCCAGAGAGTTACAATGCTTTCCTTCATTTTTTGTTTTGTTTTTGTTTGTTATTCTTATTTTTCAGGCAGCAGAACGACATGAATCCTTAACAAGTTGGAACCTGGCGAAGAAAGCTAAGTGGCGTGAAGAAGCTGCACTGGCCGCACAGGCTAAGGCTAAATGAAATTCCAAGTGACACGGTGTTAATCAGAGGATCATTACTGTTACCAAAACAATAAAAGATGGGTAAAATAGAATATTTAATGAAATAACTGCCATGGTTTTATTTGGTAAAGAAAAGCAAAAAGTCTTTTTATTTTTATTTTCAGTAAAATTTTACTGAAGTGGAACTGTATTCAGAAAAGTGCACAGAGTGTGTATAGCTTGATACCTATTTACATAGTGAACACACCTGCAAAACCACCTCCCAGGTCAAGATGCAGAACACCAGTAACATCTCAGAAACCTCTCCTCTACCCTCTGTCAGTCATTACCATCCAAAGGTAACCACTGTTGTGAGTTTTATCACCATAGATGAGTTTTGCTTGTTTTTGAAATTTATATTAATAGAGTTACATAATATGCACTTGTGAGGGTGAATTCTTAGACTCAACATTATGTTGTGAGATCCTTACACAAATTTTGTGTAGCATGAGTTTATTCATCTTTATTTTGTTAAAGTATTCCATTATGAATATGCAACAGTTTATCTGGATATTTGGTCCAGTTTGGGCCCGATACAGATAATGCTAAAATGAGCACTCTGTGTATGTCATTCACTAAGTGTTCTTCAAAATCTAAATTTTCAACCAAATTTCCACTGTATTTGGGTAGGACTCTTGCACTGACTGAGAGGAATGTAAAACTATCAACTTTAGATTTTTTTAAGTTAAATATATATGCTAAGATTTCTAGGGTAATGAGAAAATATGAACAAGTAGAGATTTTTAAAAAATAGATGACTGACTTTAGTCAAAAGGCAGAAAAGGGGGAAGGGAAAGAAAAAGAGAGAATAGAAAAGAGAGAAACAGGACAAAATAACATGGTTAAAATGAATCCAGATTTATTGGTATTCCAAATAAATGAAACAAACTGGTAAGTGAAGACAAAGATACTTGGAATGTATTAATAACAATAATACACTTTATAGAAAAGACATTACTAAAACTATAGAATACTGTATAGACCATTACAAGAGCACAGATTCATAGAATGTAAAAATGGGGATTTTGTCAATGGAGAAATGAAAAAACCAAATGGACACCTATCTTCAATACATTAACTTTCCTAAAGCTTGTTGATTCATCAGTGGAGAATTAAACCAAACATCAACCAGTTATTTTATCTTTTATGGCAGAATTGCCTTATGGCCAATTAGGTTGTGAAAAGGTTTGAAGGGAAAATGTTTAAGGCAAAGATGTTTACAGAAAAATTACCTAGAACAGAGATTGGGAGCAGGACTTCTGTTGTTAGTCCTCTTTTGTTTTAGTTACTTCATCTTATTAATCAATCTGTTCCCTGTCACCTAAGTTTTTTTAACATTAGTAAATCCTAGACCAAAGGTTTTGTACTCTTTCCTTCTGTATACTTATTGCTTTTTTGGATGGTGGCCATTCTCTAGTGCCCTGGTACAGAAGATTTCACCATGAAAAGCTATGATTGAACCTACAATCTGATCTCATTTTCATCTTGGCATAATAAGGCTGCTGTGTCTTCAGCTTTCAGCAGCAAAATCCATTGTTCCCACCATAAGAACTAAAAAAAATATATTCTCAATGAGGTTTCAACTAGTTTGTTTTATTTTAATTCATGTATCACATATGCTGCAAATAAAATTTGTAATAACTATTCTGGTTTTTTAATGCATAAATATACAAATTCTCATTCGAACTTGAAAAATGTTATACTAATTCTAAATTTGTATGCACAAAATAATGTAGCACCTAAATACATTTAAAAATGGTCCAAACTACAAGAAAAAAATGGACAAGCCCACCATTAACTTGGGAAATTAACACATCTCTCTTAGAAACTGACAAATTCCACTGACTAGTAAATATATAAAAGATGTGAATCAATTAATAATACACATTCTTTTTTAGCACTCATGGAACATTCACTGAAACAGCACATGGTAAACAATAAAGCATCAACTTTTTTGAACTACATGCAGTATCACAACTTAGAAATTAGTGGCATAGTGTTTTTTATTCACTTATTTATTGTCATAAGGTTTTTAAAAGCTTGAAGATTCAAAAACACTTCTAGATGACTCATAGGCCAAAGAGTAAATCATAATGGAATTTTAAAATGCTTAGAACCGAATATTAAGAAAAAGCTATATATCAGAACTTGTGGAATTGGTAAAGTGATAGTGAAGTGGTAATTCAAAGTAAATTGTTAGCCTCAATATGCCTTTCTTAGAAAAGAAATGTTTATAACAAATGTACTAAACATCCCTAAGAAATTAGAAAAAGAAATGTAGAATAAATCCAAAGGGAATAAAGGATGGGAAATTACAAAATTAAGAGAAGAAACTAATGAAGTAAATAAAAACATAGAACATAGAGAGTTGATATAACAATTTGGCAAAGTCTTCAAGACAAAAGATAAAAAGTATAAAAAAAAACAGTTTAGAAATGATGAAAGGGATGAAAGCCATGGTACAACAGAGATTTTAAAAAGAACATTATGAATTGGTATGCCATCTTCTGCTCTGGCCAAAATGGAGTAATAAGGATAAGATATACTCTCTTGCCTGAGACAACTGAAAAATTAGACAAAAACATGAAACAACAATTTCCAGACATTGGGCATCTGGCAATGAAGAGCAGTGATCTGTGAAATAGAGAAAATAATTTAGTTGGGCCCAGTAATTGTTCTACTTTACTGCCTAAACAGTTTCAAGACTGCATGGCATAGACAGAAAACCTGGGTGGGACCTGAAAGTCTCTCAGAGTTGAGGAGAAGAGTCAGGGAAGATAAGACAATTAGGTATCACAGGCTAGGGAACCAAAGTGAGGGAGCTGTTCAGGGAGCTCTAGAGGTCTGCAGCTGAGTATCGATGACCATAAGTGATCACTACCCATGGTCATGTAAAGAACCACCTAGAAGTATAAGGAGAAACAATTTTTGGAGCTCACACGTGGCCAAGAATAGTTTGAGTTCCACCCGTCAAATTAGAAACTCTCATATTTGACAGAGAAGAGGAGCACTTAGAATGCCTTGCCTCAGCAATAAAATAAAGGCTGTTCTGTGCCTACCTTACAAAGTTTAAGAGTAAAAAAAAAAAAAAAAACCCCCCCCCCCAAAAAAAAGCAAGACTGCAAGACTGTAAAGGGTCAAATTGTCTTTGAGTAACTTTGTTCTGTCCCATAACAAAGCTTAATAAATGTAGGAAACATTCACAATGCCCGGTATCTAATAAAACATTATCAGACTTGAAAAGAATACATGCAAAATGGAACAAATCATAATGAAGAAAAAGGATAAAAAGAAACAGACCAGATGATAGAATTAGCAGATAAGGATGGCATAACAGCTATAATCATACTCGCTGTGTTCAACAGAGTGCAGGAAAGCTTGAGTATAAGAAGAAACGTGGGAGATATGAAACAGACCCAGGTAGAACTGTTAAAGATAAAGTATATAAAATCTGACAAGAAAAATACACTAATGGAATTAAGAGTGAATTAGACACAACAGAAGACAAAATTAGTGAATTTAAAGACTCAATAACCCCCTCTCCCCAGCCAGCTCCCCTCCAGCAATCCTCATTTTGTTTGTAACAGTTAGGAGTCTCCTACGGTTTGCCTCTCTCTCTGTTTTTATCTTTTTATTTTTCCTTCCCTTCCTCTATGCTCAACTGTTTTGTTTCTTAAATTCTACACTTGAGTGAAATCATATGGTATTTGTCTTTTTCTGACTTATTTGGCTTAGCGTAATACCCTCTATTTCTATCCACATCCTTGCAAATGGCAAGATTCTAATTTTTTTTTATGATGGCTGAGTAGTATTCCATTGTACATATATATACCACATTTTCTTTATCCATTCTTCTGTCAATGGACATCTGGGCTCTTTCCATAGTTGGGCTATTGTGGACATTGCTGCTATAAACATTGGGGTGCATGTGCCCCTTCGAATCACTATTTTTGTATCCTTTGGATAAATACCTACTAGTGCAACAGCTGAGTGATAGGGTATTTCTGTTTTTAACTTTTTGAGGAAACTCCATACTGTTTTCCAGAGCAGCTGCACCAGTTTGCATTCCCACCAACAGTGTAAAAGAGTTCCCCTATCTCCACATCCTTGCCAACATCTGTTGTTTCCTGACTTGTTAATTTTAGTCATTCAGGAGGGCACTTTACGTAATGAGCACTGGGTGTTAATATGCAACTGATGAATCACTAAATTCACCCTGAAATGATACACTGTATGTTAACTAAATTGAATTTCAATAAAAAAAAAGTCAAAGCACTGAAAACTATCCAAACACATAAAGAAAAAGAAATGAACAAAGCATCAGTAAGCTGTATGACTATTTTGAGCAGCCTAGTATAAGTGAAATTGGAATGGAAAAAATATTTGAAGAAATAATGGTTGGAAGGTTTCCAAAATTGATGAAAACTATAAATTCATGGACCCAAGAAGCTCAGCTACCTGCAAGAACAAGAAACATTGAAAAAAGGCAAACGAGGACACATCATTAACCAAATTGCTTAAAATCAGTGACGAAGAAAAAAATTTAAAAGTAGCCAAAGAAAAAGTTAGTATTACTTACAAAAGGACAAAGATAATAATGATATAAAAATTGTTGTAAGAAAAAGGCAAGTCAGAAGACAGTGGAGCAATATCTTAAAAGAACAAAGTACATCTAGAATTCTATACCCAATAAAAATCTCTCTCAAGGGGGCTGGGGTGGCCTCAGTTGTTCTCAGTTGGTTACGCATATCTGCTCTTGATTTCAGCTCAGGTCATGGGCTGTGGAACCTGCTTAAGATTTTCTCCCTCCCTCTCCCTCTGTATACCTTTTCTCTCCCTCTCTAAAAACAAACAAACAAACAAACAAAAAACAAAAAACAAAACAAAAAAACCAAAATCTTTCAAAAACGAAGGTGAAGATTTATTCAGGCATACAAAAGCTGATGGAATTCACCACCAGCAAACTTACAATACAAAAATACTAAAATCCTTCATGTAGAAGGAAAATGATACCAGATAGAAATCTACATCTATACAAAGAATTGAAGAACACTAGAAATGGTAATTATGAAGGCATATATTAAAAACTTTAAAATTTTTAAGCCGCTTTTAAAAATAATGGACTATAGCAAAAATTTATGACTAAACCATGAATGTATTATGGGGTTTATAGCATATAGAGGAGTGAAATGCATGAAAACAATAGGACAGAGGCTGAGAAGGAGAAAATGGAAGTATGCTGTATTTAAGCTGGTTATACCAGTATTGTCAAATAGATAAATAAAGCCACATATGAAATTTATAATTTTCTAATAACCTTGTTAAAAAAGCAAAAATAATTAGTAAAATTAACTTTAATGGAACTTAATCTAATATGGTCAAAATAGTATTTTAGCAAGTAATCATAATATAAACAACATATTTTACATTCTTTTTTGCTTTTTAAATTTTTAGATCCAATGTAGATTTTACATCTCAAACACTGAATTTTGATCGGAAACACTTGGTCTATATTTGACTTCATAAAATGTACAGTAAAAAAATTTCCCATATCCAAGTTGTTCCAAATATACTTATGTTTTCTAATAACCAAGTAAAGTTATCAGTTTTATTTTTAACTTGATTAAAATAAAATAATATTAAAAGTTCAATTTCTCAATGGTACTAGCCACATTTCAAGTGCTCAAAAGTGCAGTGTTAAAAAAAAAAAGTGCAGTTATATGTG